GGGATCTAGATCCCAGTGACAGGACTCTCCCTCCCTCCCCCCAAAAAGGGAGGGAATTGAAAGATTAAAAAAGAAACGAGTCTCCTTTTCTCATTAGTTTCTGCGATGGAATAGTTACTAGCATTTTTCATGGATAACCCTTCCCCCACAAAGAAAGTTGTACGGATGTCAGGCAGTTCTTTTTAGCTTCTCCTGATGCAAGAGGAAGCGGAAGAATACCGTCCTTTGTCGAATCACTCCTTTAAAGGGACAAGATTAACCCCCAAACTCCTAGGTTTGAAAAGTCCGCCCAAATGCCTGCCCTCTGATTGGTCAGCGGCGGGTGAGCGCTGATTGGAAAGACGCGGCCCCGCCTTTCCAGACCTCCCCGGGCTCGGTTGTTTTGCCATTCAAAACAGTCGGTGATTATTGGCTGACGGTGACGCCAAGCTCTGTTCTTGGCCAATGAAAAGAGACATTCGCCCTTCATTTCCCTCCCCCGCTGTTATTTTACAGCTGCATCGCACGGGGGCGGGATGTCACCGTCGGCTGCTCAACTGTCATTTCTGTGAGGGAAGGAAAGGCGCGAGTGGCGCCGTCTCGCTTCCCTTTGCTTTTCGCGGGGGTCCTCGGTCTTGGTGCCGTGGTGGCTCTTCCTTTCAGGGAGGTAGAGAAGGTGGCCCTTGGTGCGTCTAAGCCAGCTATTTTTAAGGGTTCTGTTTTCAGTGTCTCCTGTTCTGAGGCAATGAGTTTGATAGGCAAACATTCAGGAGGTTATTACAGTACCGTATTCCACCTTCAGGAAAAAAAATCCTCACCTTGATGGAATTGCTACTTGCGCCTTTGTTTAGGGTATAAGGATCTTACTAGGAGGAGGAAAAAAGAGTAGCTCTTTTAACCTGTTGCAGTAAATCTACCAAAAATGCATTAAATGGTAATAGGTTTATTCTACCTTGTTATGTAATCTTTCAGAGCTTTAAAAGCAGCCACACCTTTAGGCCTTTGATTACAAGTACAGGAGCAGCTCCAGTGCTCTTTTCAATGAGTTTGGGGTTCTCTAAGAAGCCTGGTCCCCAGGTGATTCAAATATTGGTATATTTACTATTTTAATTGTATTTATTACTGAGATTTCTAGGCTCTGCTCTCAACAGCTCAAACCAGCATTCATAGAAGAACTTGAGAGTTAAAAATGTATTAAATATCACCCCCTCCAAGGTCTCTTGGTTTATATAATAACCAAAGGAAGATGAAAGTAATATGTCCTCCCTAAGAGGGCCTGGGGAACTATCTGCAGATGCAATAAGATTGGAGGAATGTTGGCATTTTGCCACCTTTAGTGTCATAAGTAGTGGCTCTACCTCATGCTTGGTTGGGTTCATTGACCTCCAGCAGTGCTCTAGGCGTCTCTACAACTGTCATCTCTCTCAGTTCCTCAGTAAAGCAAGGAGAGTTTCAGGTTCCACAGGAAAAGAGGGGCTGGATGGGTGCAATCTGATCCAAAGCTTCCACTGCCCTCTCATTCCAGGCAGTGACCAAGGCCTCGGTTGGACTGTGTACCAGACCTTTAGGGCCAACCCCAAGCTCTCTCTGGAGCTATACTGGGCCCATCAGTCGCCTGGGGCAGGCCAATTGCATAGGTCCAGCCTCTCTGCAGTGGAAGGAAGCATCAGAGAACTCAGAGCCAGGAGAAAGTGATCTGACCGTGACAGGAGAGCAATAGCAGTCTCCCCTGACATCAAATCACATTGCTACTGCTCTGACAAGAAAACTAGATCTAGCATATGACCACTGTTATGTGTCAGGCCATGGCTGTCATGGTAGCCATGAACTCTTGATCCACCTCTGACTCCACTCCCAAGGAAGACAGGTTGAAGTTCCCATGAAGCCAGCCACAAAGTCAAGGAGCTCAGGCAGGGAAGTTGCTATGCATCAGAGAAGCTGGTACAATTGCAACAGTCCCAACTGACCCTAGAGCCATCAGAATATTTTGGATGACCATAGCCACCCTCACTCTGCACCTGCCCTGGGGTCCTGATTGAGCACATCTCCAAGAGGGGAACACTGCCCTCTGGGCCCAACCAGGTCTCAGTGATATGCCAGGTCAATTGTCTCATATGTGGCAAAAACTGGAGCAAGTAAATGAATTTGTGAACTGTTCCATAGGGATGGGAAACTGGATGAAGAAATTTTAAGATGTGTAATTGCAGGTAGAAAGGTAATAGTTGATAGTATGTAATATGTAATATGGGTCTGTTGCAAGGAATAAATATCAGAAGCAAAATGGTTCTGCAGAAGAATGAAAGACAAGTGACAGGATTAAAGGAAAGAGGAAAACCAAGAATCATGGTTGGATGGAATTGATGAGATCCTCAGAGAGAGATAATTATTTGGATTACTATTTCTTCTTTTCTGTGCCCTGCATAAAGTTGCTTAAATGAAAAATGAATAGTGTGATATGTATGTATGTAAATCTTCATGAAGGCTTTTCCCCTAACAATATAATGTTTTGTGTTATGCAATAGTAACTTTTCCTTAGCAGAAAATGCTTTAATTTCTACAGATTAGGACTTCTGATTTTCTCCTGTCCCACTTCCCTACTACTTGTGCAACACATGGATCCACAAGCTAGCTAGCTATATTTTAGCCTAGGGTATTGTGCAAACCTTGCTCGTGTGGTTAGTTTATGATTTAGTGTACTGTTGGTGCCCAGAGCATCTAGTATAAGCAAATGACCATTTTAATACCCAAAGTGATGCCTTCTGTGCAGAAAAAATTAGAACATGCTGCTTTAAATCATTTACCTATTCTGAAAAGCTATGTACAGTAAGTTACTACCAAAAGTTTGAAGAGTTTTTTAATATTTGTGTGAAGGATGGTTGAGAATAAAGCCTGTAAATTGATAGAAGAGTCACCTGAAACAGCCATTGTTCAGTCATAGGTGTCCATTCCTAACCACAAACATCCCAGAATGATGAAAAGTGAATCAGGAGATCACAATGCAAATTCCAACCTTTCATATGTGTGCCATGTCACATGAAAGTACATAAGGGATAGAGTTTGCAATCACAACGCTCATTTCATCACTTCCCCACCTTGCACTGTCACAGATGCCAATGCATTCAGCTTTCCATGGCAACCTTCCCAGCCTACCTTTTCCTGCTAAGTTGCAGATGTGGTGGAAATGTTGGCAGCTGTCATCCTAACCCATGCAGAAGGCATCAGACTGCAGAAAGATTATCCATGATGTTTGTTTTAAAAATGTTCCCACCTGCTTAAAAAAACATACAGTAGTAAATTGGTGGTAAAATAAAGTGCTATGGAAGA